TCTTACCTTCCCCCTTACCCTCCTCCCCTCCCCCCCTCCCCCCCCCTTCCCTTTTTTTTTACCGTATCTCGTCATCCTCGCCTAAGTCTTGTTAGGTTGACCTTAATCTTGCTCGGCGCCATTTACCGAGGGTAGGCTAGCAACCGTCAGTGGCGGGCGACTTGCCTGATTTGACGTCTAAGATTTTGCGACGAGAAAGACAAGACCCTGGTCCGTCCACTTGCTTGAGATGGCACCATCAGGACCAGTTTCGCCTTTGGGATGAGGAGGACTCCGCCTGCCTTTCATCGGCCGAACCATCCCCTTCCACATTCATGTATCAACCTTTTAGCGTTTAGATCTCACGGAATCGGATTCATAACCAAACATTTACAACACATGAAGCTGAAAGTGAATACTCGCCCGTCCTCCTGTATTAACTGGGACCTGTCGCCCAACATTACGCCCAGATATATTGGCTCTCAGCACAAGCTAAGTCCCCAAGCGCCCCCTATTATATATGGTCTCCATCCCTCATCGTAGCTGCATGGGCGAGTAGAGACCGTGTCAAGTCCTCTTGTAGGTCGTTGTATATACTTTGATATTATGATGTTAGGCCCGTAAAGCCCGCGGCCTTGCCGTTCATTGTCGCTGTTTAGCGCCCAACCCTGATAGCGGGTGGCATTGGTTGACGTCAACCGACCGAGAGTAGATATCTGCCTTTGAACCCTACTTCTATCTCCTTATCACCCGTTTATTGCAGGTTCTCGATGACAATGGCAGAGGCGCCGCCGCCGCCGTTGCAGATACCGGCGCAGCCAATCTTGGCCTTCTTCTCCCGCAGCACCGTGGTGAGGGTGGTGACAATGCGAGCGCCCGAGCAGCCCAGCGGGTGTCCAATGGCAACCGAGCCGCCGAAGACGTTGACCGTCTCTGGGTCCAGACCGAGGAGTTTTATGTTTGCGAGCGCAACGACGGAGAAGGCCTCATTGATCTCGTAAAAGTCCACAGCGCTCTGCTCGAGTCCGGCGTGCTTGATAGCCTTGGGAATCGCCAGAGCGGGTGCAGTGGTAAAGCGCTCGGGCTCGCGTGCAGCGTCGCCCCAGCCCAAGATCTTGGCCAGCGGCTTGATGCCGAGCTCCTTGAGCTTCGCCTCCGATACAAGGACGACGGCAGAGGCGCCATCGTTGATCGGTGAGGCGTTTGCTGCAGTGACGGTGCCTCCGCTGGGGATGAAGACGGGCCGGGCGGCCCGCAGCCTGTCAATGTTCAGGTTCTTCACCTCCTCATCCCGCTCGACGCGAACCGGAGGCTTGCCACGGCCGCCGCTGACCTCGATGGGAGCAATCTCAGAAGCAAAGACGCCGGCCTCGGTAGCGGCCTGTGCCTTCTGGTAGGTCTTGATGGCGTAGTCGTCCTGGTCCTCGCGGGAGAAGCCATGGTCAGAGCTGCAGAGCTCAGCCTGGATACCCATGAGGTCCTGCTTGCCGTAGGCGTCGCGAAGACCATCCTTCTGGATACCATCAACCAGGGTCTGGTCCCCGTATTTGGTCCCGGACCTCGAGTTGAGCAGGTAGTGTGGGGTGTTGGACATGGACTCGGTGCCACCGGCGACGACGATGGAGGCGTTGCCCGTCATGATGGTCTGGGCTCCGAGGATTATGGCCTTGAGGCCCGAGGCGCACACCTTGTTGACCGTGGTGCATACGACACCCTGGGACAGGCCGGCGTTGATGGCGCACTGGCGGGCGGGTGCCTGGCCGACACTGTCATCCGATAGAAACGCATCAGTCACAGGCAGCCGCAGGAGAGCCAGGCCGCGCCCTCGAGTGACTTACTTGGCAGATAGTACGTTTCCGAAGAAGACCTCTTCAACATCCTCAGGCTTGATCTCCGGCACGCGTTCAACGGCGGCTGCAAGAACACATTAGCAAAGCTCCATTGACCCCTTGACCTAGCCAGGGACACGGCGAGTCAAAAGGGTGGAGAGGCGGAAGTACCCTTGATGGCATGGGAGCCCAGCTGGATGGCGTTCAAGCTGGACAGGGAGCTATATCAGGTGTGCGCCGTCCACCTTTAGTCAGTCCTCCATAGTGCTGGTCGTCGTCGACCCAGACCGGGACAGCCGGTCCGGGGATGAAGGAGGTTGTCAAGACATACCCCAGGAATGAACCCACTGGGGTCCTGGCGACGGCCGCGATGTAGACAGGCGGAAGTCCCGACATTTTATGAACAGGCTTGAGGGGATTGGGAGGTACGTTGGTGCTGGGCCGAGTTACGAAGATGGTGAGCGGGTGTACTGGCGGGTATGGTGGAAAGAAAAGGAGGGCGGATGGTGGACGTCTGCCGCCGGTATTAAAGGCTGCGTGTTCTGGTAACGGGGACCAGATTGAGGGGCGACCAAGCAACCCCACCAAGAACGATCAAGATGGACGGCCGAGCAGTGCAGTCGAGCTACCCGACCATTAAGTTGCTACACATGCAGCTGCCCAATTTTAATGACCGAAAACCAAAGTCAAGACGAGACGGAAGGGACTACGAATCGAAAAAGAATGCCCGATTACCAAGCTCGGTGCCGCCGGAACCGCTGGTAGTAGAGTAACCTGGCGGGCAGGTCAGGGAGGTATATCATCCATCTAAATTCCGCGGTTACCCACAGCCTATAAACTGGCACACCGCCTCGACAGGGCCATGGCAGCTGTGATAACTACCACCTACGTACCACCCTACGTGGGTATTCATCGACATACCCGAACACGTAGGTGCATATCAGCAAGTAGACACGGCGGCCAGATAAAAACCCGCACTTCGTTTAACACAGATTGGGACACCCGTTGTCCTTCCCATGTCCCGTACTGTTTCGCTGGCGATGAGAGGCGCCAGCTACATGCCTACCATATAGAGTATCAGCTCATGTAACGGCACCGTCTGTCGGCCATGTAGAGACACGCACCGTCTGGTGCATGTGCTGTGCCAAAGGCTGCACGCTACCGGACTTTTGTCGCAGCTGGAGGTTGGGCTCTCCATGGTCGGGCCGCCCACGCCATCGTTGGAAGCCGAGCACCCCCTCGGCAGCGGCTGCAGGTACGGCTGCAGCGGAACGAAATCTGGTGGGCCGAGCGTTGAGGTGCTGTCAGCGATGGATGCCGGCCCACCACTGTGCTGGTATGTGGGGATAAAAAAGTCAGGTGGGGCCAAGCTGCCCGCCAACCTACCAAAAGAATATTTCCTGAGCGCGTCAACCATTAACCACCAACGCGTCCCGAGCTTGACGCTCTCAGCCTTGCGCCTTGCACATCATCTTGCGCCACCACACCGACACATTGCCGCCGTTGGCAGGAACTTACGGCCAAGGTTGCGCTCCGCTGAACAGTCTAGACACCTTCTTGCTCCACAGTATTTACCAAAGCTAGCCCAGAGCAACCCTCGACCCTCAGACCAGCCGTGCTCGGGCGCATAGCGCTGTTCTTCTAGATCTGCCCTCTCTGGCCGGCGGCTCGTCGCACCGTTGCTGTCGCTGGCTCAGTTGCACTCGACCGCCGCAACCATGGATGACCTCTATGACGAGTGAGCTCGCCCGACAAAATATTCCTCACATGAATCGGTGCCAGCTGGCACTGGGAAGGAGACACGAACTAACGAACTTGATTGTGTGCTGCAGGTTTGGCAACTTCATCGGCGAGGAGGCAGAGGCGTCGGGGAACGAATCCGACCATGCCCAGAATGCCAACGACTATGTGTACGATGATGCCTCCTCGGAAGCAGGCCAATCGGGCGTTGACGCCGCGATGATGGATGTTGATGGTGAGTCCCCCGCAATACTTGTCTGCGAATCGGCAGGTGCTGGCCCGTCAGCCTGGTATGGATGCTGACCATATGGTGTGGGCGTATCTGGATAGAGGGCCGGCCGTCCAACGCTGTTATTCTGCATGAGGACAAGCAAGTCTACCCGTCGGCCCAGCAGGTATACGGCGAGGAGGTCGAAACGATGGTGCAGGAGGAGGATGCTCAGCCCCTTAGCGAGCCCATCATCGCCCCCATAGAGGAAAAGCACTTCACGGTCACCGAGACGGACCTACCACCTGTACATTTCGACCGCAGCTTTATGGCCGACCTGATGCGGTACCCAGCACAGACTCGCAATATCGCCTTCGCCGGTCATTTGCACCACGGAAAGACGGCGTTCATGGACATGCTTGTCCTTGAGACCCACGACATCAAGGACAGGCTGGAAAAACGCCAGGGTAAAAGCCGCGACGAGCAACTGAGGTATACCGATGTACACCTCCTGGAGCGCGAGCGCGGTCTCTCGATCAAGGCAGCGCCGATGAGCCTTGTGCTTCAGGGCACCAAGGGCAAGTCCTACTTGCTCAATATGATAGACACTCCCGGCCATGTCAATTTTGTTGACGAGGTTGCCTCCGCCTTGCGGTTGGCTGATGGGCTCTGTCTGGTGGTTGATGTGGTCGAGGGAGTCCAGATCAACACGGAGCAGATACTAAAACATGCCGTCCTCGAGGAAGCACCAATCACCCTCATCGTCAACAAGCTCGACAGACTCATCTTGGAGTTGAAGCTCCCCCCGACTGATGCATACTTCAAGCTGAAGCACGTCATAGAGGAGGTCAACACAGTAATAACAAACGCCCTACCGGGGCGCCCCGACGAGGCTGAGCGGAGACGCCTCAGCCCCGAGAAGGGTAACGTGGTGTTCGCATGTGCAGACATGGGCTGGTGTTTTACTCTACAGTCATTTGCAAAAATGTACGCCGATAACTACGGCGCGGTCGACACCCACGAGTTCGCGCGGCGCCTCTGGGGCGACATTTACTTCAACCCACGGAAGCGATCATTCACCAGAAAACAAGTTGAAGAGGGCGCCAAGCGGTCATTCGCCAAGTTCATCCTGGAGCCCGTGTACAAGCTCTTCGCTCACTCCATCAGCGACACCCCTGACGAGCTCAAACGTACTCTCGCCACCCTCGGCATCACCCTGAAGCCATCCCAACTGAGAGCCGACGCCAAGGTCATACTGCGCTTGGTCTGTCAGCAGTTCTTCGGCTCGTCTGGCGGCTTTGTCGACATGGTGGTGGCGCACATACCGTCTCCTCTCGAGGCTGCCGCCGAGAGGTTACGGCGCTTCTACACGGGGCCACTTGATTCCGCTGTGGCCAAGTCGATGGCTGCGTGCGACCCCAATGGCCCGCTAGTGATCCACGTCACCAAGCTCTTCAGTTCGCCAGATGCCAAGACCTTCCAGTCCTTTGGGCGTGTAATGAGTGGCACTGCCCGCCCCGGCGCCGATGTCCGAGTTCTCGGTGAGGGCTACTCGATCGACGACGAGGAGGACATGGCAGCAGCCAAGATCTCGGATGTCTCGATCTGCGAGACCAAGTACAATATCCCAACCGACGGAGTTCCGGCAGGAAACTGGGTTCTCCTCAGTGGCGTCGACAACTCGATCGTCAAGTCGGCGACCATTGTGGACAAGGTCTTTGCTAGTGACGAGGATGCGTACATTTTCAAGCCCGTCACGCATTTCACCCAGTCCGTGTTTAAAGTTGCCGTGGAGCCGATAAACCCGTCGGAGCTGCCCAAGATGCTCGACGGTATTCGGAAAATCAACAAGAGCTACCCCCTTGCCACTACCAAGGTGGAGGAGTCGGGAGAGCACGTTCTCCTTGGCACCGGCGAGCTGTATCTCGATTGTATTCTGCACGACCTGCGACGCCTATACGCCGATATGGAGATCAAAGTCTCGGACCCCGTTACCCGATTTTGTGAGACGGTGGTGGAAGAGTCTGCGGTCAGGTGCTATGCAATCACTCCGAACAAGAAGAACCGCATCACCATACTGGCCGAGCCTCTGGGTGATGATATCGCCCGAGACATCGAGACAGGTGCTGTAAAGATCAAGGACCCCGTGCGCAAGACGGCCAAGTTCTTTCAAGAAAAGCATGAGTGGGACTTGCTTGCGGCCAGGAGTATATGGGCGTTTGGACCGGACGAAGCCGGCCCCAACATCCTCCAGGATGACACCCTGCCGACTGAAGTCGACAAGAAGCTTCTGGCAGCGGTAAAGGAGCCGATTCGCCAGGGATTCAGCTGGGCGACCCGAGAAGGGCCCCTGTGCGAAGAACGTGAGTCTTGCTTCACCTTTTCTCTATACCCTCCCAGTTACCAGGCCGCTAACAGTCTGTATCTCCCCATATAGCGATTCGCAACACCAAGTTCAAGATCATGGACGCAACACTGGCCGCAGAGCCCATATCTCGTGGCGGTGGGCAAATAATTCCTACGTCTCGGCGAGCCTGCTATTCCGCATTCCTGATGGCATCTCCTCGTCTCATGGAACCGACGTACGGCGTGTCGATGATCGGGAACCAAGACTCTGTAGCGCAGGTTTACAACACACTGGCCCGGCGAAGGGGGCACGTGCTGTCTGACGGACCCATCGCCGGAACGCCACTATATCGCGTCAACGGGCTGATACCCGTCATCGACTCGTTCGGGTTCGAGACGGACGTGCGGATCGAAAACAAGGGCGCGGCCGCCATAAGCCTCGTATTTGACCGATGGAGCATCGTGCCTGGCGACCCGCTGGACCATGAGGTAGCATTGCACCCTCTGCAACCGGCTAGCGCACATGCCACAGCCCGGGATTTCGTCCTCAAGACCCGCCGCCGCAAAGGACTCAGCGAGGACGTGTCAAAGGCGAAATTTCTTGAGCCCGAGCATCACAAGGAGCTGCTGGCTACCGGCGCGATGGACGAATTCTGAGTTGTACCGTATCCATAGTTGTACCACTATCGTGGCAAATGCTGGTGGGGGGGGGGGGGGGGGGGNGG